AGAGGGGAGTGCGGGGGTTTGAAACTACGTACTAAGTACATTTTAGATGTCCGACTGCAACCACCTACAACAGGCAGCGCAGGTGTTGCCAGGAACGCTGGCGCTTCAACGAAGTCCTCAGATTTTCGACTTGTGTCTGTCCACCAATTACCGAACCGAATGGGTGTTTTTTCGACTTTATTCCGTTTTAAGGAATGTCACTCGTTTTTGGCTAAGTGCCTCGTTCACAGTCAAATTGGTCGGTCACAGTGCGCGTTTCGGGGTCGTGTGTTTTTTTTTGCCGACCACTTCTTTGATAGACGGGGATGTGGCAAGTCGAGCAGGCCGGAAATAAGACCGGACCGAGAGCGCGGACGAAAACGTTCTATCCTGAGGCGAGGAGGATAAGATCAGATCGAGACCATGCGACCACGACGAGGACGACAGTGGTGTATACCATTGCTGTGTGCCGCTCGGTGCTATGCGATGTAGGGCGGACGACTCGCACAGACGATGTTCATCCGTTCGCCGTGGACCAGAACCTGTTCGTTCGGCTCGGCTCATTTACCCGACCCGCTCCATGGCAGCCGCCGTCGTCGTCGTCGGCGTTGAATGGTACACAACAACTTGTCATGATGGCACGTGTCGCGGCGACTTTCTGTGTTGTCGGTCTGATGTTTCATTCAAAACCTTTCGTGGCCGGCAGGAAACCAAGTGGGTACTTCTGGTTTGTTATTACTGTTTATAGAAATGGTGTGCTTATGCCCGTCCACCCACCCAGTTGAATCAAATTTTAAATTATTAAGCTGTTCGGTGTAATAAGCGGTATCAGGCCGATTTGTTGTAGCTGTACCTTGTCATTTTTATAAAGCTTTCAAGTATAGTACATATAAGCATTTAATATTAGTTGCATACAGCATTACCTGGTATACCCAGCTATTGATGAAGGCAAACCGTAAAGCTGATAGAGGTCCGCTCTCTACCATCCAGAGAGAATGACATTTTCAGCAGCCTTCATTATAGGTCTATGCTTTGCAATAAATCCATTTTATTTTAATGGCATTTCAAGAAATAAATGTAGTTTCTTCAAACTAGCAGCATGGTAGTAAACTCATAAGATCGGATTTGATTTTTCTGTATGAAAGTAGTTTAACTTCGAGGATTCAGGGTTTGCTGTTGTCAACTGTAATGGAGGCTCCGGCACCATGAGCAATCAACAGCATAAGAGTATCGAAAATTTTCTCCAGCAAACCATACCGAACAATCGTTGTAGAAATAAATCAGAAAAAGCCATGACCCTTACCCCCCCCCCTAAAACGAAGGCCTGTTCAAAAACGAGATTCGCTCTCATGGGAAGCAGACAAGACAGAAGTACAAAGCTACGTTTCAGCATCTATTTTAGTCGTACAAATGACGTGAGCTCTGAAGCAGGCACATGACAACAAGGTAATGCCTGTGATTTGTGAATATTAAGGCATATCTGTAAACTTGAATTAATTATTCGAAGATATTCTTTGCATTATATCGTTTCGTCATAAGTTGAAGATCCTGTTGGGTGAAAACTGGCCTGCACTCATTATCTCTATGAAGATGAATCTGTGATTTCACATTTAATGATGCGTCAGATTATAGCTTTGCCGGCTACGGCACTTTCATCTATCGCTTTTATTTACCGTCATATGTCGTGGTCAACTGAGGAATTATCTGCTCGTCCCTTGTCCTGTCTATATGGTTTTCAGCACCAAAAGCAACGCCAAAATTTCCTGGATGCACAAATCCATGAATATATATTTTTCACTTGGGTAAATCACGACGTTTTACGAGTTTATACACAGGAGTTAAGGAAAGCTGTCTATTGGTCTTGATTTCCGGATTTTCAAATGTGCTTCAGTTGCATTTTTCTGCATTATCACTCTTTCATTTGCCTCGAAGCTGGCGGGCTAAAGTAAATAATGTATGCTCAGTCAATTTGTCTAACAGGGTCAATCGTCTTTGCCTAAATACTGCATCTACTGAGGTTACCTGTACTCAGAATTGAGTAGTGCTATTCCTTACCTTGTCATGCCGTTTAGCCCTCACTGTACCCAGTTCAACTATTTTCCTCGGTCTTTGTTAGAACAAATATCTCCATGCCGTAAAACAACACTCACCTGGCTGAAGAAAGGTAGAGGCGATTTTTTGTGAAATAGATAGCTCATTTCTTAGTCCAGATATCAAGCATTTTACCAAAGGCTCTATAGACGAGGACCGTCCTCTTACTTAACTCTGATTCAACGGTGCCATCGCCACAGATGACAGCCCTGACATACTTAAATTGATCGACTTACCCTACCGTTTCACAGCTCTGTTATACTAGTAAATCAGAGGTGTCAGATGAGATTTTCATAAAGTATGAAGTTAAGTGAGGCGGTATGATTTTCACAGCTGTGTTGCACATGGAAGCGTCAGGTGGTGAAGACCGCTTCCCGATCATCTTCGTTTTCCACGTCAATAAGATATCCCACTGGATTTCATGAGCTTTGAATTCCCTTCAGAATGGGATTTTCCTCTTTACCAGGATTAACACTGTTTCAGATGTAAAAGTTGTAAACAACGCTGATTAGTTGAAGCGAAATCACATCTCCTTGGTGAACTGCACATCTGATGGGGAACCACTCGATAGAAACTACGGAGGCAAGCGACTGAAATGAAATTTTTTCGAAGGATTGCTGAGGTCACTGTTGCTTAGAATTTTTATTCAAGCATATGTTGAAACAAAATGAAATGGTCGAATCGAATAACTGAATTCTTGCCCTGTCAAAACTCTGGCCAGTCGACTTCGACGAACTGCTATTCTCTGGAGTCGCGGAGGCAGCAGCGTCAGGCACTGACTTCAGCGTTCCTGATCCTCTGCCAAATTTTCACCTTCAGCAGAAGTAAACCAGAGTTTGTCGGGCCACCTCTTCCATGTCACTCCTGACCCTTTCTCGGGGTGTTTTTCCTTCCGGCTGAGCAAGTAGTGACTGTTTCGCTATTCCCTCTGGCATCATTCGACACCATCTTATCAAATGAGGTAATTACTCGCTGAAGAACTAAGTTGTCCTTTCATTTGAACATGGATCGCATCTCAAATTGCTACTGTGTATAATTCATGAGCTTTCATACGCAAATAAAATTTCTATGCGACATAA